CAGGCTCTTGCCCTCTCTTGAGTGGTCCCCTCAGGAAACTCATCATCCTCTGAGCCACAAGGTCCAATATCTCCACATGTTTGATTAAAGTATTAAATCTCTGAAGGCCAGTTGGACCATTACTCTCTGTTTGTGTGTGTGTCTGTGTGTGAGTGTATGTGTGTGTGAGTGTGTGTGTGTAGGGAGTTGTAGTTATTTTTATACATAGCTCTCATTCTGAAATGCACTAGACAATTTTTTGGCGCTAGTAGAGGAAACAACAAGAATTGGAAGATGAGGAAGATTAGGAACATGTCCTGTTAGAAGACAAATACAAACTGCAAACAAACTGCAAATATCTATCCAAGCCTTCTAGAGCAAATTATGTGAAGAATTTCATTTTTCAATATGGTATCAGTGTATTTTCTAGAGTTGGGAAGCCTAATAAATAATTTATTACTATATTTTTTTCTAAAAATAATAAGGAAAGGACATCAATGAGCTATTTAAGCCAAAAGTGGTAAAAAAAAAAACCACTGCAATTTATTTATATATTATTAATATATATTATTTATATATTAGTTGATGTCCATTAATGCAGTGTAGAAGGTGAGCGTTTTTTCTTCTAGACCTTTTGAAGGAGCCTCAAAATGATCTTATTTTCTAAAATCAGAAAATTGGGTTTTAAAACTAAGGGTCATAGCTTAAGGTTGGAATATAAGTCACTCCTTCTACTATACCTAAATAAACTAGAATCTAAGAAAATGTGCAAATGTAGAAATGGCCTTTTTACTGTCTCACTTGATGAGATGGCAAAATCCTAAGAAAACCAGCAGAAAAAGATTTTTTTTTTTTTTTAAGAAAAAATCCTGGTGGAACACAAGCTGAAGTGAGTAACTCAGTTTCCTACTCCTTTTTTATTTAGACGTTTTTGCTATAGTACGCATGCACTCGCCAGAAAGACAGAGACAGAAAGTGAGAAATCACTCCCCAGGGAGGATGGGCACGCTGCAATCCATTCTCCTCCATTCTCTGCTCGGGATCTTGGGCACACATGCACACATGCCTGGCGTGCTTTTAAGCCACTGGGTCTGGGACTCGAACCACAGTCGACTACATGGGAGTTCAGCGACATAGCCATTACGCCAACTGCTGGTCCCAGTTTCTTACAACTTATGTCCTGAGAGTAAGAGTGAGTCTTTTCAGATTATGAAGTCAAAGAAAGTGTTATTTTCTATTTTTTTTTTTCCCCAAGAGAGGACATGTGCAGAGAGAGTGGGAGAAATGAAAGTACCCTCCTATGGGGAATGGTTACACTGCAGTCCCGTCTCCTTCATCTCTCCACGTTGTGATTTTGAGCATGCGTGCACCTGTGCCTGGTGTGTTTCTCAAGATTCTAGGTCTGGACTTGAACTGCAGGGTCAACCATGTGGGATCCAGCTGCCTTAACTGCTAGGTCATGGAGCTGGCCCCAGAAAGGTTACAATTTTTTCTTAGTTAAAGAAATGAAATTGGGAATAGTGCCCTTTGCCAACAGTAGACTTTTTAGTTAAAATATGAGTTTCTGTTACTTCAGATGAGAAAATTTAATTACCTAAAACACCCTATTTCCTTGTCATTTCAGTTAATTATGGCCCTTCTCCATTAGCAAAGGTATGTGTTGGTCAGACTAGATCTTCTCTGGGAGAAAAATTCTGCATCCTTTCTAAGGCAATGAAGGAGATCTTTTAGAGCTATTGCTGGGACCAGCAGGTTGGCATAATGGCTATGTCGCTGTACTCCCATGTAGTCGACCATGGTTCAAGTCTTGGACCCGGTGGCTTAAACTCACGCCAGGCGTGTGTGCATGCATGCCCAAGATCCCGAGAGGAGAATGGAGGAGTAGGAATTGTGGTGTGGCCATCCCCCCAGGGGGTGATTTCTTACTTTCTGTCTCTTTGTCTTTGTCTGTCTGGAGAGTGCATGTGCCCTATAGCAAAAAACCTCTCAAAAAAAAAAAAAAAAAAAAAAAAAAAAACAGAGCTATTGCTGAGGACTGCTCCTGTGCTCTCTAATGACACTGCCACTTAACAGAGTAACAACTGGTGGTCAAGTGCACAATCTCTGGAGCAAGAGTTCAAAACTTGGATCCACCCATTCACTTTTGATACTGGGCATATAAGTCTGAGCCTCTTTTTCTCACCTAAAATGTGGGAGTGATTATAGTACCTACCTCACTTCTGAGAATAACTGAGGATTTGATGAGTTAATATACATACACCACTAAGAACAATACCTAGGACACAGTATACCAACAATTTTCTCTACTATATGGTTTGTTCATGCCTTCAACAACCTATGAATGTCTATTCTGTGCCAAATACTGTGCAGAACACTTATGATAGGAAGATAAATGAAACATTTTCCAAGTTTTAGAGCGCTCTCAGAATGGTGGTGGTGGGCGGGGGACACGCCATGGTTTAAACTCAGTGAGGGAAGGCCAACTTAGACCTTTAAAGGAGAACTTAACTAGGCTAGATGAGTTGGGCAACCAATCAATCAGTCACAATACATTCACAATCCTGAGGCAAAGCATTTAGAAGAACCTAGTTTTATTTGTTAACAGTACAACTAACTAGTTGTATGACCCAAAATAAATCACTGAACTCTTTTGGACACAAGCCTTTACCTGTGTGTAAAATTAGTGTTGAGTCAGTTGTATGCAGGAGCCCTCTGATACTGGCTTATGACAGCCTACTGAGTGCATTATGTTTCAGTGACCTCTTCCTGCTAGCCTGAAATCAGCTACAGTGGGTGTACTTACACCATAGAAATTGGCAAACACTGAAAATCAGGATTTTTTTTTCTCCTTTAGAATAATAATTAATTGATATTTACCAGCTTCCTAGATGAACTACTGAACTCCAAAGTATTTTTGAACTCTAATAATTTTCAACTCAGTGATTGTTTTGCTGCAATTACATTTTATTCCAATGCCATTCACTTGGCATAAATTGCTTTCACTTCTCATTTATATAACCTGCCAGATCTGGCTGTCTGAGTAAGTTTAAAATTTATACTCCAGAAATACTTCCACATCTCATATATTTTTGACTTGATATATTTATTCTTATGATGTGCACAGATTACACTTTCAACGTAGAATGTCTTTGTACTGTTTCTGTGCTACTTTTTTTTTTCCTGATATAGTGCTAGCCATTTAAACAGCTTTGAGCTCCTTACTGAAAGGAATATGTAAAGATGATTCAGATAGACTGACTAATTCATTCTCTGAAAATGTTGTGCACATATCAGGTGAAACTGAATCACCCATAAAACACTTATTTCTTTTCAGTTGATAGTTAAAATAATCTCACTGGAAAAACAGTTCTTGGAAGTGATCATCTCAAGGCACCCTGGCCATGAAATGAATGACATTTAGGAATGTCTCAAGAGGAAGGATCTGTTAGCTATAGATGTCTGCTAGGCCTAACTTTAAAAACAGCTACTCAACTCTGCCATATATTTGCCTCTGGATTTTTACCTTAAACTAGTTTACGTTGGTCTTTTTACTCCCCAGCAACTAGCAATACATTTAATTCTTTAAGTATTTATTAGTAGTTATCTATGTCTATCAATGTTAATACCATCCTCTAACATCATCAATAAAAACATGTCATAAAGCAATAAATGTTGTATTCAAATACTGATTCCTCAGGAGAAAAACCCAACAGTTTGATGGAATAAATATTTTGAGAGAGAGACTTTTTTACTTTGATGTGGATAATTTTGCTTACTTTAAGGATTGATTTTCTTGCAAATCATAATTTATAATTATGTAGACAGCACTTTATAATTTACAAGATATACTCAGTTGCAGCATCTCTTTTAGTCATGATTTTCTTATATAGGCATTATTTCTTTGTTTGCAGACAACACAACTGAGGTTTTAAGAGAATAAAGTTTTATATAAACTATACTAAGCAGGTAACCCAGGTTGTCTCAGTGTATTTTTAATGATTTTAAAAAGGTATATTGATGCTTTTTAAACTGTTTTTAATTATTTGCATTTCCTGGAAAATATTTTTACCCAAAAGGCACAATATTTTAGTAAAACACTTGTATTCATCTGCCTAGCTTCTACTGTCTCTTTTGAAAACTCTCCCTCCCATCTCTGCTGGGGCTGTCAAACACAACCCAACTCTCTTACCCCAGGGTGAGGGTACAAAACCAGGTTGACCTTTCAATGAACTCTATTCTTTTGACATGGTGCTTGTTTAGGGGTGAGCATATGACCAAAGCAAGGCCAATCAGAATCTTTCTTGAAATTTAACATGAATGCTGGGAAAGAATCTTTCCTTGTCAGAGATCACAAGACAGATGTTGCTGTTTCGGAGTATTTGATGATCATCTTTGCCACTCTGTGGAGAAAGCCTGTCTGAGTGTGAAACTGATCCAAGGGGCAGCAGAACCCAGACACAGAGATGGGTTCCTGATGTTATTAATGGAGTGTCTGTACCCAGCCATGTCTTAAGCTAATAGAGGCAGTACAATTTCTTCTTTCCTTCTTTTTTTTTTTTCATTAACAGTTTCATAACGATTCTTTTGTTCCTAGCTCCTGAAAAAGTCCTCAGTGAACAATGTTCAGTAGGAAACATTGCAAATCTATGTATTCAAACACAGTCAAGATAATAAAAGCAAGGGAACCAGCAGTTAGTGTAATGGCTATGTCTCTGGACTCCCACGTAGTCGATCATGGTTCGCGTCCCAGACCCGGTGGCTTAAAACTCATGCTGGGCACGTGTGTGTGCGTGTCCAAGAT